AAGGGGTCAAAGGTGGTGCAGCCGAAGCCGATAACCGACTAATGACTGGTGACCAGGTAATTTTTCTTTCAATTTGGGTCTCCTAAGAGTCGTTCATGTGATTCCTCCGTTTTCCAGATTCTCGCTGTTAACGGTCAAGATGTCGCAAATTCAATGCAAGAAGATGTCGCAGCCATGCTGAAAACGTGTGTTGGACGAGTTTGCTTGAAGGTTGGCAATTTTTAGATTATATTGGGAACTTTTCTGCTTATTGCTTATATCAGTGCTGCTCATTGTCAGTGGGACACTATGTGCCTCGGAAGGGGCCACATTTCTAGCGATACTTAGTCGCGATATGTTACTTATGGTTAACTTCAGTGAGAGGGTGCAGACAAGCAAACATGACGTGGTACATACACCTTGCTTAAAAATGGCTCCTTCTGTGGCACACACTGAGAAGCACACTGGGAGATCGTAGAACCTTAGTATCTTATCACGGGAACACATTCTCTACTCTACACATTTCGCTTGTTCTAGTCAAAGCTATAAAGAAGTCAGTGCCGTTCGGTTTGGTGGGGGATGCCCCTGGTTTACAAGCGGAGGCATCGAAGGCTGCATTTACGACTTTATGCAGACTAAAAATTAAGCAAATTTTGTAGTCTACTTATCCGGACGAGTTGTCATACTTGACAGACATTTACCGTCACATGTCACGAGATGTCAATGGCGAAGAGATCGCGCCAAATGGCCGCCTTCCCAAGCGTCCACCGCCGGTGAAAGGGCATGGTCCAGGCCGTAAATGAACTGCAAAGCCTAAAGTGTTTCAAGGTTAACCCCAGTCGACGTAAAAATCTAGGGGAGAAGTTTGAAAACTTTCTGACCACACTGTTCTGTTGCTTTTTTCAACAAAAACTTTTCCCATTTTGAAGATCAGGAGAGACGGTCAAGACAATCGTGATTATTCGCGTCGTCGCGCGCGGCGAGTTCGGTGGCAATGAGCGCGGTGGTTCGACTAAGATGTTCCACGACAACAAGAAAGTTAGTATTCCCAGCCTGTGATCTTCCCCTGCTCAGGTACTCTATTAGTGGGAAAAAAGTTGGTACTAGAATATCGTAGATCCGGCTGGGAATTACTCAGCCAACGGAATCGCTGGCCTACGCTCGTCAGCGCGGCCAATGACGATTGTCTTGTCACATTCCCGAAGATCAGTGAGCGCTGCTAAAGACTAGACCAGGCGGCATCGAGTAATTTCTCACCGGAAATCGATGCCAAGGTCTCATCTAAGAAGCGTCTAGGAGTGAGTTCGACCAAGCAGCTTGCCCCAAAGTGATGTGAAAGCAGTGCACGGGGGTAAAGATGAGAGAGAGAATATGACTATAGAATGCATGTGAGGTGCAGTGTCCATCACATGCAATCACCAGCCATCGGTTGATCATCCAGTTGGTGGACCCTTACTGCTTTCCCATTCATCACCACTGCCACTGGAACCAGTGCAGTGGGATCTTATCTCTGAAGGACGGTTTTTTTGATGGTGATGACCTTGGGGGAGTGGAACATTTGAAACGTTCTAGGAGTTACCACAACTGAAATGGAATGCGTTGAACATTCCATGGAACTTTGAATGGAGACCTAGGTACATCGATAGAGCCTCGAATGCTGATTACGAATATGCAGATTAAAAGTGCTACGGGACCTCCCAGACGAGATCTGGGTGGTCAAAGTTTGAGTTCTGGCTCGTAAGCGCTGCTGATCGATGCTTCGGCAGTGCCACCGTGGCCTCGTGGTAATGGTCTCGCTTTCAAGTCAAACGCATGCGGGTTTGCATCCGGTTGGCGCGAAAATTTTTGCTTCGCTCCGTATAAGAGCTTCAACTCTAATTTTCGAAATTCTTCCGAATTTACGGCCCAGCAGGGCAAGTAGATCAAGTACATCAAGTATTATAACATTCTCGTCTAGTATGATTTAGTCATATCGTGCCCTCTCTGAACATATTACCCTCCGACAATTCAAAGTTTTAGCGAGAAATTCGTTCATGGGAGATTTCGACCCCTGAACACGAATATCACATCCTTCGACGAAAAAACGCTCGTCTGGCCAAAAAATTTTTTTGCGGATTCTGGGAAAAACGAATAGCACTTTTAATCTGCATATTCGTAATCAGCATTCGAGGCTCTATCGATGTACCTAGGTCTCCATTCAAAGTTCCATGGGAAGTTCAAACCATTCCCTTGTGAGAAAGAAGACTGTGTTGGGTCATCATGAAGGCGAACGAACTAAGGAAAAGTCGCGGATGCCCCTTCTAACGCCAAGGAGAAAGCCTTCTCTCGTTCTTAGAGCAAAGAGCCTCAAATAGGGATAGAACCAAAATTCACGAAGGATCACGTTCACTTTCTCGTCTTCTCTTGTACTTCTGTCTCCTTGAAATAATAACGTCGAAGACGTCGTCGTTGGGGGAACGCAAGTTAAGGGGTCGTATGGGCCAGTGGTGGCGAGCAGGAAGTCGTAATTGCTCTTCGAGAATATGCTTTTGGTAGCCGGCTTCTTCTCGGAATTTCGGTTTCATGTGCGTTCGGACACATTTTTTTGGCAAAACGCTCAGAAAAACCAAAGAGTCGTTAACAAAAAGTCGGGAGAGTGGTATTTTATTTGAGGAATTTCAGGAAGATGGCACGTAGAATGGAGGGACCGGAAGGGAGATGGTACCTACAGCAGGGCGATGTGAAGGGGAGGGGTCGTATTGTGCCAAAAAATTGTCCCCTAGCACAAGAACATGCACTGATAACATCATGTGCTGCGGGAGTCGAGACTGAGATTCTGGAAGGAAGGTTTTCAGGCGATCAATATTTTTCCTTACTCACGTTTTGTATGCACTGAATAAATCGTAAATCCTCCAAGTTTCTTATTTCCCTTGTGGTAATAATTAGTAGTGGGAAAAACTCAAATCAATGGTATACTCGATTTAGGTAGGACGATGGAAAATCACGGAAACAGCAAATCGAGTGCATGCGGCTGCTGAGGCGCTTGCCCGATCCCAAACTACCCCACGGGTGAGTATCCGTTGGCAAAGCAAATTGTCTAGCATCCCAGTACAGAATTCTATCAATTTTTCGTTCAGACCGATGAGACCCGGCCTTCAGTGTCATCCGAACGACGAGACGTGCCACCGCCGGCTCCTCCTCTTCGCCCAATCATCACCCATACTTCTCCAGAAGGAGAAGCTGTTGCCGAAGCGGATGTGCATTTGTCTCCTGTCACTGAAGAGCCAAGCAGCGGTACCGATCAGGTTAGTTCTGGCACTACAACAAGGTTTTCAGTAGCGCGTCCCCCTTATTGTTCTGTTAGATTTTTTTGACATTTTTTCTCGAATTTCAGCCAAGTCTTCAAGACGAAGAACGACCTGTTGTGCAAGGCATAGAACTTTTAACCGAGTTGAAAGAAGAAGGAAGCGAAACTTTGTTACTCGAGTTGAAAAAGGTAATCTCAAGTGTAACTCACCTATAGTGCATTAGAATAGACTCGAAGGAAGATGGACTGAAAGTGAATGTCACCCTCGTTAACATAAAGTTAACTTTTCCGAAATTTTTTTCAACCAATTTTTTTCCAAATACGTAACAGAATGTAAATTTCAGAGTGTGGAGATCTGAGTGGCTCTGAACTGACACTATTAGTCTCACGTATGATTACCCATTTCAGATTCCCGATCAACAGCTTGGAATGGGTATTGGAAAACGATCCCGTGGAATTCTCGTTACCTCTCTTCAGCCTGGTTCAGCAGCCGCTGAGAAGTTGAAGGTCGGCGATCGGATATTGGCCGTGAATGCGTTGCCCGTGACCGATCAGGTTTGTAGCACACGACTTTAACCCATTGCCCCTCTAAATCCGCTTAAAAGGCCCTGCTAATTCCAAGAAGATGAGAGATTTCTATGCAGAGGGTGCGAAGTAGTGGATAGGACGGTTAACGCCAACGGGATGTGTGACATGGCGGCATCAGTTCGATTCCCTCAGAGGAGTATTTCGGGAGAACCCTATTTCATTACCTATCACTGGCTTCCCACCCGAAATTTTCTGTTCTGGGAATGAAACATTGATAATCAAAAAAATCTTCTGGAAACCAGGTACGACCCTCCTCGCTAGACCGTTTACGCTTGCCGTGGATGAGATGCCCCGCCGCAACGTAGGTGTGACGATCTCCACCCATATGTGGGCAATAGTTGGGCCGATACCAGACGGTGACGTTTCAAAGCCTCGTCTCTGTCTTGAATGTACTCTTTTTCAACCCTCGTTGAAACTTACGCCGGCCTTTCCAGTTTTTTGGGAGGCGCCCGGCGCTTGTGCACAGCGTAATCTAGCCGCCAAACCTCAGGCATCCCCTGACCTGAAACATACCTCAAGTGGTCTAGAATGATATTCAGGGGAGTACTTCACCGCTGAGAAGTTGGTTGGATTCCGTCCGCGTAGGGTGATGGAGCCGTGTCGCGACGTTCTGGGAAGGCGTAAGAAAATTTCCGAGCCGCTCATGAAATCATTAACGATACTGGTTTATTTGATGCTTTCCCGGAACTGGTGCGCGCTATCACGCTCCGCATCCATTCAGTGGCTGTCTTTTCGGGAAAAACTGCGGAAAATGTCGTGACTGCGGCACGCACGTCCTGCAAGGTGAGGAATTTGAAGAAGATGGCAGGGAGGATTGGAAAAGCGTGGGGAGGTGGGGAAGGTTCACTAGAGGAAGATATTGGCGTGGGATTCATACTGAAGTTGTATTTTACACAACGCGATATTGTACCGTGCCCCGAATTACAGTCTTGTTGGGTTGGATGCTAGGGAATTACAGTCTTGTTCGCTGTGGATGATGGATGTCAGGGTGATGGGTTCGGCGCTCCTCTAGCTCGATTCCCACCTATATTTGTCGCTTGTCCCCTTCAACAACTGGTGGAGAACAAGCTTGCGCAGCAGTAGACTCAGCCCCTAACACGCTTCATCATTCGCACTGAACAAGGTCGTATCTCTCCCCGCCCAAAGAAGACTGTATGATGTGGGGCTCTTCCCACAAAAGCTAACATATTTTGATTTCAGCTCTCTGCGGTGACGTTCGTCAAAGCAAGTGGTCCTCGGTTGTTTCTACAAATTGCTCGACCGCGAACCCCTCCTCAATGACAGCAGCATCAATCACAACACTAGTAACACCAGTAGCAATCATCTAAAAATCATTCAGCACCGAAAACACTGTGATACGGGACTATATTATGGCAATGAGCTCGACAGGGTCATATATTGGTGGTGTAGACCCTGCTGGCTAATTATTTATCCGTTTAGATACAATCATATTCATTAGATTCAGCAGCAGTAATACGTCTAGAGCTACAATCACTATGGGAATCTTTCGATACATAGTTGACGAGCTTTTCGTTTGTGTACTTCATCGTTCATTCAGTTTTGTTTGTTAGGGAAATCTTATCAATTGACACGATGCTCTGCCATAATGTCTTTTCAAGTCCATTTTTTTATTTTTTTATTTTGTTGTTGTGTTCTGTATTACTCTAATATGTGCATACTCATATTTATGATGATGATTTTGGCGATATCTGAAGAGAGTAAATATCTATGTCGAGAATAATCACCAGATAGGGGGGGGGGTGGGTGGCATGTGACAAGACAATCGTAATATGCTGCAATGGGCGTGGCCAGCGAGGCCGCGCAGGGGAAAGACGAGTTGTCCTGCCCGCCAGTTTGAGTTTGAATGTTGACAGACGGGAGGGCTCACTGTCATCCGCTATGGAGTCTTGCCTCCGCTTAAATTTGCAGGAACACTGCTCTAATCGACAAAGCGACGCGCACTGAGAACTTGCCGCGCACCGCCGCACAATGCGCCGCGCGCGACGGTGCACCAGATTACGATTGTCTTGTCCGTTGTTTATTCGGGAAAGTGAATATGTTCGAGGTGTGGGCAGGAGATCTGAGTTACGGCAACGCGGCGAAAGCAACGCTGCAAGCGGCATCGCGCGCATGCGGGATATACGCCTGCCTAGTTCAGCACATCTTGGGCGCTGCGATGCGGCGTGTCAAAAGGGGTTACAAATGGTGTCGTTCCTATCAGGACCCAACTGATTCGGTGGGAGTGGTGCGGCATGTCATCTAGCTAGGAAATTTTCTACTAGTTTGCGTGCAATGCCGCGCCTAGAATGCCCTGAACTTCAAACGCCTGCCCCAGCAAAGGTGAGCCGTTGAACCCTTCATTGCTGGGGCGCGGATCTCCCGACCATCCAGAATTTGCCGCGCGCGACAACTTAGAACTCGATGTTCCACATTTTTTGGTGGTCTGACATAAAAAACAACAAAAATTGCAGGTTGAAGTTTTCAAACAGTTGATGAGTTTCGGGCTCGAATCCCGAAAACCACCGGGAAGCGAAAGTGTTGAGGATCCAGCGCGCGTGAAGTAACGAAGATCTCCTCCGGAAGATGAAGAGTTACTCAATAAACATACTTGAAAATCCTGGAACCATAAATCACACAGTCGTCGGAAACCGGAACGCGGAATAGTTTCTTGTGATCCAGAAAGTTCCACTGGTTCAATATCCGAAAAGCATAGGGAATCGGAAGACAGGAGGCTTCTAACGGGTAATGTAGAAATTTTCGTGGATCTGACATCCAGAGATCCTCGGAAACCGGAAATCGATCTGGTTTCTGACTACCAAAGAAACAACTCGCGAGCTTCGAGGTGTGAAATTTAGTTCTGTTCGCCCCTATAAACTGTAACGGAACGCTCAGAACAAGGATATGACCCCTCTTTGTAATACCCGAACTTCACCGCTTCATTTACAGCTGGAAAGATACTGAAAAACCTGATAATCGTTAGAGAATCACCTACTCATTTGTCCAGATGATGCTATTATGAAAGGTGTTGCAAACTTCTAAACCAGCGCGTCTTACGGAGCAACTTGAATTGGCTACCGCGCCGGACAAGTTTAAAGGAACGAGCCATGGGGTGGTCGATGAAGCGGTCCCACCTGGTGGCGAGGACACCACCCGAGCCCACCGCCCCACCCGAAGCATGAATCCCGGATGGGGCTGAGCCACGCCGAGGGAGGCAATCGTCCCCCAAGTGGAGGGAAATCGCGATAACAAAGAAAAGCAAGTTCGAGAAACGCTACGCTGTCCGCCATTGAGGAATTGGCAAAAAACCAGGACTTCAGCAAAGTGATCGCCGTGCTCAGAATGGAGCCACGGCCACTGTTCTCAAAACAGCCACACATCGCATTGAGCCATCTGCTTCAGTCTTGCTTGTCCTGTAGAACTTATACATGTATCATTCTGCCCGTCGTGACTTCAGTTCTAAACCAGCGCGTCCTACGGAGCATTGGCTGGTGGGGTCCGGACGAAGTTCGTTTGAGGCACCAACGGTTCAGGGACCGGGCGTGGTCGCGCACGGTTGTGCGTGTCCTCCCGTCGGTGGGGCGGCATGATGTGCTTGGGCACGTCGCTGCTCCGAAACCGTTCCATTTTCAGTGGCTTTATGGATCAGGAAGGTCTTGCTTTGGGTGGTATGATGTGGATGGAATCCGCGGTGTGGTTTTGCGGTACCGGGGTGGCTTCGCGCAGTGTGTCGATGTTCGTCGGGGGCCAGGGGCCTTGGTTCCATCTTGCGGATGGTGTGTCTTGCTGTGCTTTCCGCGCTTCCCCCTTCTCCTGGTTCGTCCGGCTCCCTTCGGTGCGGCTCCGCTCGGGCCTGTGCTTCTCCGTGTTGGGCTCCTCGCTCCCGTGCGTTCCCTCCTCCCGCTTCTTCCTCGGGGTGGGGGTGTGTGCCCAGCGCCCTTGGGTGCTGCTTTGGGCTCCTCGCTCCTGTCCCGTTGCGTGGGCTGGGGCGCGTTGCTGCCGCGCCCGTCGGGTTTGCCGGGACCCTCGCCCTGCCCGTGCCCGCCTGCCTCCCACGAGGTCCCCATTATTGCGCTAAATCGCCCAAGCCAAATCGGCATGCTCCGTAGGTCGCGCTGGTTTAGAAAGTAGAAACACCTTTCACCTTATATTAAAAGGTCAGTGGACGATTTTTTTTCACGCCTACCTAGATAGGAGCATTTTTTCCAGCCGTCAAGGAAATGATGAAGTTCAGGCAGTTTGCTCTACGGCCCATTCCCCTGTACAACAAAAATTCAGCACCCTCCCATCACTCATAAAAAATTCTTTGAAACCCTCCTCCCAGGCTCGGTGAATTGCGATTGTCTTGTCACATACTCCTAGAGCGCTAGGGGGTGTCGTCGCACTAGTACGGCCCCGCTAACTAATCACGCCCACTGCCCTGAAACCATAGACAACATTCGAAAAAAGCTGCGCTATGTGTTGGAACCTCTTTATTCAAACAATAAGTTCCAGCGAGAGAACATCCGGAAAGAAGAACCGTTCTAAGCTTAACCAGGCCGTTTACATGTAAACAATGCTATTAAAACTATACAGAAAAGTGACTCGTAAATAGCACAAATTGGGGATAAATGATCCTTTTTCGAAATTAGAATAATTGTAATATTGAGAATCAACTAGGAGAACATTAGCTTACATTTAGCGAGATCAAATATCAAAGTGTTACAGTTTATACTCGTATGAAGAGTTGAAGAAACCGTACTCCAGTGCCTTTTCAGGAAGATTTGTTGGTGGTCCGCATTACTTGTGAAGTTCCATCGCAGAATTTCGTTTTGTAGAGAACATTCGCATGATTGAACATTCCTTCTTTCAGCGAGACGATGATGAACTGCAAAGGAGAAGGAATTAGCGTGAAAAATTGGGCAAATTATTCAAATAAATTCCATGATAGAATACTTTCCAAAGCAAAATGGGGTCATAACGGAAACGATCACAGCTTTTCCATCTTGCGCCTCTGCGAAAGATGAGTGGGCTATGTCATTGGACCTTTATCCCTCCCAATAGATCACCTTCGTCATTCGCAGTTTAGTCTGTTCTGTCATACGTTTCCCTGATGGATAGCTCACAATCACAACCCAAAGGAAATGATGCTATTATCAGTCGGAAACAATCCATCCATCATTGGTTGATTGGGCTCAAAGGCAGTGAGCACGATTGCTGGAAATGGGCGGTTGTTGCCAACGTCATTGGCAGAAGGGCTGTGAGAGGGCGTTTGGCCACACCCCACTCATCGAAAAGAAAAGCCTTCATCTCAAGGATTCAGGTAGCATTTGCGGACGAGTTCCCGTAGGCATCTTGCCAATAAACGCTACGGTAGATACGGCTGCATGTACTCATCTATCCATGAAGCAGCAGCCGCTTCATATCAACCTTCGCTTCACATTTTACTTAGCAAATGAAGCAATATGAGCATCAGGTACGGCCGTAAATGTAAGGGTGTGCGGGTGCGGTGGGCGATCGGGTCGGTATGTTGCAGCTAATGGGGAGTCCTCTGTGGAAAAGGCGCTACGCAGCCTGCTCAGAGTGTGAAATTCCGTCCTGCCAGTCGTATTAATATATCGTGCCAATTGCCTTTAATGATGATGACGTTTGCCTTAAGTGTAACGGACGACGAGGGATGCTTACTCGTGCTCTTAGAAGAACATCTCATGAATATTTCATATTGAAACTTCTATGTACCATGCCACCCTGAACACGTATTCTTAATGGTGTAAGCCATTAGCAAAGTGCTTCTTTTTTCAACACCCCCTGCATTTTATAGCACCATCTAAGCCTCGCGTAACAATCCTGTTCCCATAGAACAAATGTGCACCTTCCATACATCTGTGCTGGTTCAACACCAGGTCATGTCCTAGCTTGGAGATTCCCCGTGGTAGGGGGGGGGCTATTTGGCCGTTGAATACGGGTTAACGGTAGAGTATTTACCTTTAAGAAGAATATTTCCGTTGTTGACGTTGCCGTGCTCCGTTTAACACAACATTCCGGGCCGCCCTACTGCGCGTATTGCCGTTGCCGAACTTTCACCTACTGTCCCCAGTAAAAATAACGTATGTACTCATATCCCGGAGACTGAAGGGGGCGGATGCACAATGCGTGGCCGCGAGTGCGTTCTAATGAAGCCTGCTTTAAGTGACAAGCGCTTTCGCTGGGATATCGGCATTCTGGGAGAGTTGTAGTCATGCCATCTTTAACACAAGGAAGGATGTCAGTTGCCTCAAACGGGAATATCCCACAAAAACACCTCTTACACCAGGTGTTCAAATAAAACACGAAACTACGCCCCTCCAATCTTTGGGATATGGACTGCCATGTTGTGTAGCGAATCCAAAAACCTATAAACACAACTTTTTTTTGAATGAAGGGGTCAAAAACTCGTTGGGTCACTTGGCGCACACGGTCCGCAATGAGTTAAATGCCGAAATTCACTTGAAGAACTGTCAGACCGCGTTCATGGTTTGCGAATCGAGCGACCAAGTAGCCCATACTGGGACTCGGGCGACTGCGTTAGACCGTGCTCCAATGCTAATTGATGGACCACTGCAACTGTTCATTCAGTAGCCTCTTAAAGAGAAATTCCTCCAATTATTGCAGCGCAACCTTTGGCAGCTGCGCGACTGAATCGCTCAAGTCGCGAAGTATAAACACAGCCCCCTCATTGGGAAATTCCAGAAGTTTGACAGTTTGAGTAAGCACGCACACGCTGAAATGCCTCTTGAATCATGGATTAACGGGGAATACGTGTAGTACTTTAGGTGTCCTGATTACCAACCCAATTTTCGCACTTTTCGTATTTGCATAAAAAAATAACCAGCAATTCTCAGTCTTACAAAGGGCACCTTTTTATCATGGAAATTCAGGCAAAACACAGCTATTAGGCCACAGCAATTTATCACTTTGCGACAACATCGATGCATGTTAGATGTGTGGCCACCCGGCGGATATCCACAGCTTTAGCTATCTCGCCGAGCCGCCTATCCGCTTTGCTTAGGTTTCTCTACACTATCCTTTCTAACTTTGTACTTACTGATGAGTTCTTTCAAGCATGATACCTATTTAAGTACTAGAGAACAAAGCTTCCGACGGTGATCAGTCCCGTTATGGGATACGCCGTGCATTTCAATTCCATCCACAACCACGGTAATATTTAGTAGCTATCACACGAAGGCTTGTGCACAGCAAGGGTGTTTTATCCTTCCGGACATTTCTGGCCTAACACAAAACCAGAAGATATGGAAGTTTGATCTGCCTCGGCCGAAGCCGATCCAAGCGAGATTTCATGCCCGGACCACCCAGGCAGCTCTACTTGTCACTTTCCATCTCCGCCCATCCATCCAAAGACCTAGCTCAAGTCTTAACACATAATCTTCACGTCCAAGATGAGTACGCATATGTCTCTCAAGCCTTTCTTAACCCGTCGGAGAACCATAAAGAGACACAGAGGATGAGAAAGTCGGCCACACTGAAAGGCCATACCCCTTCTCAGGAACTCAGTGCGGGTCATGACACCCACGTTACGGCAGCTGGTATTCCTCAGCTAGTTGATTCGACATGCTCCAAAAGTTCCACTTCGGAACAACTGGGTCCTCCCTCGAATCTGCGTACAACTTTTGGAAACGCCTCTTCGAAGAGGGAATAATGATCCTCACCCAGATAAACCGCGCTAGCTTGCCCTTCTGTCAACTGAACGGCACCGGCGTGATTGTGGGCCGAATATTCGAGAGCTATGACTTGCAGGGTACATCATTGTGGGGAAATCCACAAAAGGGGTTGATCGCAAGGCAGGGAGGGATCGCATCTTCCATGACTTATGGGTGTTTCATTATGGTAAGGATAGCGCACTCGCCCAGAAAACGCGAGGTGCGTGTTCGAGTCCAGCCTGTTGGGAGACGTGCAAAAGAATCGTGAAGTGCGCTTCGTCGCGCGCGGCGAAAGGCGCGACGTTTCCTTATTTTGCACCCATTCCACTGGAGAATCGGATTTCAGAGTAGACAACATCGTAGACATTTATGTCTAATTTGGTCATACATTGTTCTCTCCGAATATACCTGAAAATGTCGTCATTAGCGGGCGCGGACGTCGCACGCGACGCCCCTGGCGCAGCGAATTACGATTCTTTTGCCACATACCCCAGCCTGATGTCAAGACCTTTGCCCATCAGTCAACATTTTTGTAGTGATCTTGACTGTTTTTTTTTGTTTTTTGTTCCACCCGCGGCGTCGCCTCAGACGAGGTGCACGCAACTTAAAAGCTAATTTTGGTAGGTGATCGGAGCTGTTTCTAGGAACGCTCCCCTCTCGTCCTTTGGTCGACAGATTCTTTGAGGATGTTTTGTGGTCGCCCGTAGTTTAAGGTTCAATTTGGGGGCGGGTTGATGTCGAAAAAATGTGAGGGGGAGGCATGCTCCGACAATCTGGGCCCTGTAGCCATTCAAGCGCAGCTTCGAGCTGAAATGGAAATCAGTTATAGGACGCCTTTTCAAGAACGTGAGAATCGAATCTTAACAAGGCACGTCCTACTACTGGGAAAATTTGGGCAAATGCACCCCCGCCCCCAAGTTTCGGCTCCTCTGGCTTTACGTCGCAGCTACTCCATCCCATCACATCCTTGCCAACTTCCTAAGTTTTTGCCAGTTCTCTCACCCAATATTTTGAAGGAGTTTGTTCAAGAACTTCTATTTTTCTTCACCTTTGAGTGTGGGGGGCAACTGAAAACGTTTCCCCTGAAAGGCTGATGAGACCATTTGCTGGGGATAGGACCCTACAACGTACAAAACGTGCCCTGTTGCCCATGTTCCTTGCGGTTGCAAGAAAGTAATCTGGCAACGTATTTCCTGTGTATTGACCTTTAATTGCAAAACGTTGGTTTCTAAAATGTACATTTTTATGAAGAAAATGTAAAAAAGTCAGATCTTACAGAGAGTTACTCTGAGTTAGGCTCATTTTCTGGGATAATCGGATCTAAGAAATACCTGGCTAGTGGTGAAATGCTTCTTGATCATGTGCCCAATGTTCTGTGTATGAGACAAATCCAAAGCTGCGTCAACCTCATCCAATATATAAATGGGAGCTGGCCTGAATTTCAGCATGGCCAGCACCAGCGAAAGGGCAACCAAGGAGCGTTGTCCTGAAAAGAAAAAAAACGTGGACACTAGGACTAAGCAATCGATTCAGGCCTTTGGGAAAAGCTTTGTCAGGCGTAAAAATAACTTTGCCAGTCCACCAACCAATTCTTCCTACCAAACCAGGCTGAATAATTCGGTGGAAAAAATTTGCCTAAAAAGGCCTCCTTATGCATGCAGATTCGATTTACCAGCCACAAACAAGTTTTTTCGGGCATTCACTTCCCCTAACTTGCCGTCGAACGTCTGTCGCTCTAGGCAGCTGCTTCCGAACGAGCACTTAATTCACAAGCTCTTCACCGGAATACCCTCATCCCGTGCGGGTTTTTCCTTCTCATCCGATACACTCAAGTATTCAGAACATCATTGCTGGGCGGATTCCAAGAAGATGGAGTCGCACTTATCCTGGGGAGAAATCTTTGCAGTTGTTGGTGCTT